GTGTTCCTAAACAATTCCATGGAAGTTGGTTTCTGTATCTGCAAAACGGAAGAGGAGGGGTAAGAGGTAAGCCTTGTTTGCATCATTCAGAAATCATCCATTCTAGAAATGAAAAGGCAACTTCCACATCACAAGTGAAAAAACCCTTTAGAGGCTCGCTGCTTTTTCTCCATCAAGGAGTTAATTCATAATTAGGAGGAAGTAACTTGATTGACACAAATGACAGGGGGCCCAAAGAAAGAGGCTTAACATGCTTTCGAATAACATATAAACATTTATTCCTATAAATAATTCTGGAGGTTTAGTAATTTATTTATGCTATTTGAGTAACATAAAAATGGTTGTGGTAGAAAGCTAGCTGGTGTTTTCAAATGACTGTAGCATCATAATGCAGTCCATACTTTCAAGTAACCTTTGGAAGGATCAAAATCAGTGTTTTAGACTGTTTGCTGAATTGTGGGATCATAACAATTCATTTTAGCAGTGTTACAATATTCTAGGCTTGCTTATAGGCACACTGGTGTCCACAGGCATCAGATTGTCCAAAATACTGCCTCCAATTCTCCAGATTCCAGCCTTCAGAAGCCAGCGATCTGGTGGGCTTCAGCTGGGCTGCTGCAGGGCTACCTCTTCCCATCCAGCTAGGCTGGGTTCTGCACTTCCACAGCCATTTGACTGGTGCAAGCCGTCCCAACAAGAAAAAATGTACCCCATGAAACTCTCATCACAGGTCCACCAAGAGGTTGGTATTCATACTGGTACGCAAAAATAAAGAAGGCAGAACTTCACCCAGCAACTTTTTCTCCCATTGGTGGATAAGGGGAGTGGAGAGGAATAGCTGAAGAGCATGACTGCAGAATGCTCAACCCTGTGTGTGTGAATGCATGTATCCATAGGTATGTTGTTATGTGTCTCTGGGTTTGTACACACCGAGACAGAGCCTATCCAATAAATGTGAGATGGCTGCATTCCTTGAGATTGACTGCCCTGTCAAAATAGGTGGTGCAAATCCAGGTGTATTGATTTGTAAGTAAGCCCTTCCATGGCAGAGAAGCCAACATGCATTTCCCCAAAAGTATCTTGAACTGAGCAGTATGGAGAAGCAACACCAACCAGCACTGTTGCTGATGTGTGACAGGCTGTGAGGACAGTGTTTTCTACAACAGCATGTTTTATTTTTTCCCCCCAGTCTCAAGAATGGAAGGGAAGCCCACTGTCATGGACATGAAGAAGTGCCTCACCAATGCTGCTGGCTTTATCATTCTAATGGGTGAATCTTGCTCAAATTAAGTTTAGCTGTGTTACTTGAAAAGATCTTAAATTTTTACTTTGGAGACAGATGGAAGGAAAATAATCATCTCACTAAGAAGGTAGTCCTCTCTTTTCCTTGGCCAGGTTCTTGTGCCTTCAGCAACTGGTTGTCAGTTCTAAATTTGCCCCTACTTATAAAGCTGCTTAAGCTAATGGCCATTATGATGCCTGCATTAGCAACTTCCATAATTTTCTTACGAGTTTTTTCTTAGTTGTGTTGACCCTAAAAATATCAAACTCTGGAACCCATTCCATCAGTTCCATCCCAGATGTAAAACCAAGCCAAAAGCCCCCTCCCCCTCTTGTTTTCAGAATTATATTGATGTTGGAGGACTGCCATACATAGATTTTAATGGGGGGGTAGGCGTAGGAATGAAATGTGTGATTATTATAGAATAAATTTCTCAAGACTTCCAATATCATGCAAGGCATAGTGGGATAACTGAAATGGGAATACTAATTAAAAACTCAAATTATGCATCCATCTCAGCATGCATTAGTGGCATTACAATCAGCAGGCAAGAAATGTAATATAGAAACTTGGAAGGTTTGTGGGGCAGGAATCGTCTCTGAGAGAGAAGTCAAAACTGAGAGGGGACTAAGCTATGGCATGCACTGAAAGTTCTTACTTGTGACTCCCTCAAAGCCCACACCCCTATGAAACATTCCCCATGAAAAAGCCTTGATCTCTTTAGGTTTTTCTAGAGCAGACAAAGAAGCTTCCACAAGACTGAGAGCAACCTGTGATCAATTCAGAAAACTCCTGAAAAAAGTAGGTAGGAGGAGCTCTTGTTGAGTACTGTGTGTCAGGGAAAGAAAGGCTGGACACTGTTACATAAGCTTTACTGAGCATTTTGCAGGGGCGTAAATGCAAACACTGCAGGGGCAGCAGCCACCTAGGGACACTCAGGGCAGAGGGTCATGGTTGGCCTTCAATTAACACAGCAAGTCTCAGCTCTCTAGTCACCCAGATTCTTTCAGCTCAGATCTGGTAGCCCCTGTACTAAGAAAGTGCCCCTAGTTGCTGTTTGTCTCTTGCCAATGCAAGCCTGCATAAGCAGAAGTCTGCTCCCTCCAATGTAGCCATTAGCTCTTTAATTGATGAGTAATACTCAGAGGGGGTCCACTTAAGAAGTCTTCCTTGGGGCCCAGAAACCACTACCTCTGTCCCCAGCATTCTGCAAAGTTGGTAGCAGAAAAGCCCCATTGCTGATCCCTGAGCCTTGGCACAGCCTGACACTGCTAGTCTTTGCACGCTATCAGTGAAAAGCAGAGCAGCCACCTACATTACATGACAGAATTCTTGAAAGAAAGTGCTCATTTTGATCCTTAAAAACCATTTAGCTGAGGTTCTCAAGCTAAGGAACAATAGCTCCTCTGCATGTTTAAGAAATGCAATGAAGTATTTCTGTTGCAGGATGAGAGACTGTGATATTTGCGTAGTCTGGCTGAATTTTGCATTATGTAACTAGGCACTGAAAGATCCACAGCCATACTGGGAAACCAAATGTTCTTCTCCACCAAAGTCTTGTTTGGTTTGGAAAGCTTTTTAAATTCTAAAGCGGTGATTTAAGATTCACTAGGGAATTAAATGTGTTGGCTGTAGAGAAGTGGAATTAGTTGCTTGCCCAACTGAAACAGTGTGATTACTTCAAATATATGCTTGAGATCAAGGGGATAATTGTTTGTCTTGTGAAGTCCAGAAATATTTTTGCTGGGTTCACACTGCTATTTCGAACGTTAAAGTGTCTAATTCACTTATAGAGTCATCCTGTGATAAAGGCAACTAGAGCTAACCAACCAGCACATTAAATGCTTTTAAAGGTGCTGTAGATTACCAACCAATCAAGGACATGTCATCCATCCTACATGCAATGCTGCACACTAATTCAATGGGAATCAGAAGCAGACGGGTACTTTTAAGGGCCTGGCTACTTTGACTTTCAGTGGAAAATAAAAATAGTTTTTGCTCTAAATAAAAGCTTGCTGGCAGGCAATTATCTTGTGCCCTGCACTAAAGCAAAATACATATACACCTCAGATTTGGAATTAGATGAAAGTTAGGAATTCTATTGATCACTATGAACTGCAGGGTAAGATATTTTGCCAAAATAAACTGTTACTAATAAGACAAGGCTGAAGATACTAGTTTGGTGATGTTAGGTGTTGCTTATGCATGTGTATATTCATATGTACAGTGGGGCAAAAAAGTATTTAGTCAGCCACCAATTGTGCATGTTCTCGCAAAAAAGTATTTAGTCAGCCACCAATTGTGCATGTTCTCGCAAAAAAGTATTTAGTCAGCCACCAATTGTGCATGTTCTCGCAAAAAAGTATTTAGTCAGCCACCAATTGTGCATGTTCTCGCAAAAAAGTATTTAGTCAGCCACCAATTGTGCATGTTCTCGCAAAAAAGTATTTAGTCAGCCACCAATTGTGCATGTTCTCGCAAAAAAGTATTTAGTCAGCCACCAATTGTGCATGTTCTCGCAAAAAAGTATTTAGTCAGCCACCAATTGTGCATGTTCTCGCAAAAAAGTATTTAGTCAGCCACCAATTGTGCATGTTCTCGCAAAAAAGTATTTAGTCAGCCACCAATTGTGCATGTTCTCGCAAAAAAGTATTTAGTCAGCCACCAATTGTGCATGTTCTCGCAAAAAAGTATTTAGTCAGCCACCAATTGTGCATGTTCTCGCAAAAAAGTATTTAGTCAGCCACCAATTGTGCATGTTCTCGCAAAAAAGTATTTAGTCAGCCACCAATTGTGCATGTTCTCGCAAAAAAGTATTTAGTCAGCCACCAATTGTGCATGTTCTCGCAAAAAAGTATTTAGTCAGCCACCAATTGTGCATGTTCTCGCAAAAAAGTATTTAGTCAGCCACCAATTGTGCATGTTCTCTTACAGGCCTCTCTCATCTTTTTAAGTGGGAGAACATGCACAATTGGTGGCTGACTAAATACTTTTTTGCCCCACTGTATGCATCTGCACATTCGTTAACAATACACAAAGCTTCTCTTGCTCCCCCAACTGCAACAATCTCAGTGCAGTACAAGTGTGTAAGAGTTTAGAGACTCCTCAACCTGCCTCCCTACATTGACTTATTGTTGTAACAGCAGCTACTGATTCTCTGGAAGTCACTGTTTCCGCATAATATACTGACCACAGAGATTGCCCAGTCCAGAAGTCAGAGCGTCAGTTGCTATGACATCTGCACTAAGAAGAGTGTCAAGATTTGCTGAGCCTTCCAGAAAATCATCAACAGATGCAAAATCCGTAAATAGGTAGATCATACTGATACTGTGTTACCTGCGAAAGGCCATAAGAAGGCCTACTTCTGAGATAGAGATGATAGAGACAGAGATAGAGGGATATCCAATCTCTTTATCTCTTCACATGGCAACAGACAGAAATTTCTTGGACTACAAAACTGGCTTTCTTTTGCACGGCCATTTATACATCTGACTGTGGGACGCAAAGCAACAGATAGAAAAGGGGGAGAAGTTGACACTTAAAATCAGCTGACTTTAGCCAGTTTATATACAGGATTTTGTATTGAAGATTAACTTTCCGTGGATAAAATGAGTGACCTATTGACTCAGTGGAACAATGCTCTCTGCAGAAGAAAGTGTTAGCCCCGCCCCACCCCTGCCTACACCTACCTGCCCCACCCACTGGCAGACTCCTCCAGGAACATCACTACAGGAAAGAGCAGAGACTGCAAACACAGTGGCCACAGCAAGAGGGCCACGGCCTCGTGGCAGCAGCAGGTCTGCAGCCTTCTCCTTTAGTTCACTCTTTATTGTCTGGCTTCATCAGTGAGAACCATGCTCTAAGCAAGACCAAAGCTGGGTCCCTTGGTTTAGGCAGACTGCTCATCAGACCGTTGTCTCGAGGGAATCTCCATTCGTACCTCAAAACCTTCTCTGTCCTCCATTCCACGTTCTTCAACACTCCTTAACTGAGCGACAGACTTGTCTCCTGATTTAGCTGCGACACACAAAACAGCCACATTCAATTTTACTGTTGTGCGTATAAGAAATGATTGAGCCAATCAGCAGAGCCCATTTTCCCTGTACAAACCTCTCTCCTTCCCTTGTTTTCCATGCACAAAAACACCCTAATTTGACATTTTCTAGTCCCTCCCCTTATAACTGATGAAAGAAAAAACTTCAGTCTGGCGTCTCCAGTTAAGCCTGGCAAAGTCCCCTGTCTCAAATCCTGGAAAGCTTTAGCCAGTCAGAGTAGACAGTACAGGGTGAGAAGAAGCCCTGAACTGTCTCCAGCAAAGAAAACTTCCTGGGATCCTAGACCTGCTATGATGTCACCCTGTTTGCAAGCAGCACTTGAAATTTGTCTGTTTCCAATTCCTCTGATGATCAGTGATTGACCATCTATTATGGTTTGAAAGCCATACTTTAGGGTTTAGTATATTTGGTAAATTAGGCCAAGTAGTGGTTGCTTCAATAAACTATGGTTAACAAAACTCTGGTTTAGCATACTGCATGAACATACAGGTAGTCCTCCCTTAATTACCACAATAGGGACCAGAAAATTGGTCATTAAGCAGGGTGGTCATTAAGCAACTCACTGCAGTCAAGCGAATCACATGGTCAAGTGAATCACGTGGTTGTTAAGCAAATCCAACTTCCCCAATGGATTTTTTTGCCGGCCACATGATTCACTTAACAACCACAGTGATTTGCTTAATGACCACAGTGATTCACTTAATGACTGTTGTAAAAAAGGTCACAAATTGTGATCACGTCACTGCGGGGGGTGGTGTGATGGTTTGTGATGGTCATAAGTGCGAGTACAAGTCGTAAAGCACTTTTCCCAGGACCGTTGTAACTTCAAACCATTGTTAAAGAACAGTCATTAAAGTGACGACTACCTGGATTTTTAACTTTTGAGTGCAAGCTATAGAAACCCAAGTTTCTCACTAGCATGTTTATTTTCCCTTTTTCTATTCAAGGTAACATATATTTGCTTCATATGTTCCAAAAGCATTTCCTCAACTAGTCCTCCAGGTGAGTTGGATGACTGCTGCCATACTGGGATAGTAGTCTAACACATCTGGAGGACGTCGAATTGGCAAAGACTGTGTATCAGAGATCCATTGTCCTGCAAAAGTGCTTATGTGTGAATCAATCCATGCTTTAATTTGTACTCTACTTGGGATGACCACCAAGCCTTTCTTGCATTCAAATACAAACTAAAAAGGGAGTCTGATGAGGCCACCCTTGAAACTTTTTGCAGGGAATGACTTTTCCTTTCCTTTTCTGTGCAGGGTAAACACACTTTACTGACAGGTTCCCTACATTTCCTACGTTAGCCACTGGTAAGTAAGTGCTGTTTTGGAATTATGCAAAGTAGCACTGCAAATTCTGGAAGTATTCTTCAATCAGGCTGGGGCAGTGTGGTTCTTATTGACTATGTTTGCATTTACATCTCAGATGTAATCATTCAGCACCTCAGTGCTACCAAAGGGAATTCTCTATAATGGACAGATGGATCGGTAGCCATGAAAATTGCAAACAAAGCTAGAATCACACAGCCAAGAACAGTTTTCTCACAAGGAACTATTGTTTAAGAAACAATAAAAGGCTTACCATGTGTGGATCTGCACATCAGTCTTAATTACTGGTTTCATTCCTGCTTTTAAAACATTTTTAACAAACTGATACCTTCTGCAAGTACTGGATTACAGCTCCTATTATCTTCAATTGAAATAACCCAGCAGCTTTGGGACAATAGCAGTTGTTGCAGTCCAACAGAGTTGGAAGGTCAGGACAAGGTTGGGGAAGTATGCTTGTGTCTGTCCAGTCCATAAAGAGCTCTTTACTAAAGAGCTGATCTCCTGAAGGCTTTCAGGCCTTGGAGATCCATTGCCTACACTAATCATCACAGAAAGAGGGGGTCCTGTTACTGGGCGTCTGCAGAAAGGCAGAGCCGCAAGGCTTAGGCAGGATCCGGCAGTTTCCTGGGAAACTAACATAATCTCTCATGGGAAATGGAAGAACATAAACATACCAGTGAAAGCTGCAAAAGAGAAAGTTGCAGTTTGGCTAATGTATTGCTAGGCTAAGTGAGGCTCTAACAAAGAATGGATTGGTCCTGGTCCCAGACTTCAGTACTTCAAGCATCGTAAGTTACATTTTTTTAAAGTGGGGGCTGAATTAAGTGTTTGGGTTTTGTTCACCCCAAATTTGGAGATTTCACGAAGAAAACAGTTTTGCCTGGCTATTACCACTGCCTCATAGTTCAAAACTTTTTATGAAAGGCCACATAAACCAATTCAATAGCCCTCTGCTTTTCCCAAGGAATCTCAAGAAAGAAACAAGTTGTTTGGAATTCTCAGCAAATATTATCTGCACAATGCCCATCCTATAGTGATAACATTGAATATAGACCATCACTCAGAAGCTTCATTTGAGGATCATCGCTACCCTGCTTTCCTCAGCAATTATTTTATAGAAAGTTGAAGAAAACACACTCCAAGCTTCTTTGGCTGGGCTTCAGGCATCATCATTTCCATTCCTAACCAAGCTTGATCCAGGATTGTAACATACCTGACAAGCTGCGCAAGGACACTTTTGCAGTGTGGGGGCGAGCTGGGAGGTTAGCAATGTCACTGAGCATGGGGTGATGCCTTTGTGAGGAAGACCGAATGAGCTTGCTTCTTGTTCTTGAGACAGCTGGTGAGAGAAGTGTGAAGGGAGGCATCAATGTTTTCACCACAGATGATGGTAAAGTCCCATAGCAACTCCAAGAAGTCAAACATGCCCACAGAGGAAACTGCTGTATGTTTCTCAGGGTCAATTGCCAGCAGAACAAACACAGAGATCTGGGGCCTTCCTAATTTGTTGAACTACAACTTCCATAATTTTCCACTTAAGGTCATGCTGGCTGGAAAGTTTGGGAACCACAGAGCTCCAAGTTGGGGATGCTGCTATATGCAATTACTTGACAGGAAGGTACAGTGCTAAAATACTTCAAAGGTGCCGGGGAAAAAGAGAAATAATTAACTAAATCTACTCAGAGCATCCATAAACAGAACACGAAACTCACAATCCTTTCCAGTTATTGATGGGAGATGTGTGTCCATCCGTCCTTTGTAGATATGACCATCAAGACCCAGTATATCTACCTCTTCATGCTAGAAATAAATGCAAACACAGGATAAATTTCAACTGAACCCTGATAAGGGTTAACAACTTTTTACAAGGGTTTCACTCCATCAGGCTCAATGCTGAAGAGTAAGTTTGAAAAACCCACTCTGGTGACCAGATAGACCATTGGAACTTAGAAATTGGTGTTTTTCCTTTAAAAAAATTCCCTGATGCAGCCACATGTGTCTTGCCCCTAATCATCACCACCCCCAATCTGATGTACAATGCCTCATTTCCAGTACTGGAAAATTTGAAAAGGCATGGAAGATCTCTAGATTGCAATTCAGAAATCCAATTCTATAGAACTGTAAAGACTGAAACAAGTGGGAATTTCCGCCCTGCAGTAAAAAGATGCATGCTACTATTGGGGACCATACTTGTGTGGGAGCAGGACAGGAACAAAAATGGAAATCAAAGAAATGTGACTAAGAAATTAATTGAAACCTGCTCAAGATTTCAATTTATTATGGGCCAATTTTGTTTCTGAGTATACTGTAATTCAGCCTGCTGATCCCCTGCCCTCTTATTAGCCTGAGTGTCTTATTGAGTGACTGGCTCATTCCACATGCAGAGGATGTGCTGGTCTGTCACAATCCTGGCATGTCCCCACAAATACTGGGGGCTCCCGCCCATCTCCCAGAGCCAAGCCGATGAACTCCAGAACTCTCTCCAAAGAGATACTGTAGTGACTATTTCACAGTATTATCTCTGGAGCAGCAGGGTGAAGTGGCTTCCCAATGGCAGGAACAACCGCTCTGTCCCATTGCTTGCCACTGAGATTTCCATCTCCCCAACCCTAAAGTCCCACGGTACCTTGATTTCTTCCCTTTCATCCTTTCTCACCCAACAGGGTGTTCCCCTCACAGCAGTTGATTTAACTTTCCCCACTTTCACTTGGAGCAAAAAGCTAATACCCCACAGGGGAATGCTACCTGGCATGTAAGGTAATTGGGAAAGTTATTGGGTGCTGCACAGTGCCACAAAAAGAATATCATGAGGGGCTGTAATCAGGAAAACCACCCAGTACCTTCAACTTGGCTTTTTCTAATTTGCAACGTCCCCCAGAATTGTTAAATTACATTACCCTCCATCTCTAACCAACACAGTCATGGGGATTTGTAGTCACCCTGTGTGTGTGCGTGTGTGCGTGTGTGTGCACGCGCACCAGATGGGAAGGTTTTCAGTTTCACCTATCATTATTAGAGTCAGAATGATGGACTTGCATTAGCATAGGTTGACTAAAGCAAAGATGGCCCAGTTGTTTTATCACATCTCTGCTAACAGAGGAGAATAAAAAGAAATTACAGAGGAACATGTGGCTAAAGAGATATTTGTTCTTCAGCTGCTTTTATACAGTGGGACAAAAAAGTATTTAGTCAGCCACCAATCGTGCAAGTTCTCCCACTTAAAAAGATGAGAGAGGCCTGTAATTTTCATCATAGGTATACCTCAACTATGAGAGA